GGGTATGAATGAATTGGATCATCATGCGTTGAGAACGACTTGTGGCAAAGAACAAATTTTTCATGTGAATATGATAAGATAAGATATGATAATAAGATATGAATAACTTTGGAGAAGATTGGAAGATGAAACTGAGAGGAACATTTAGAATTACTTTAATACTGCATTAATAATTACCATTACATACAGTACAGTAGAAGTGAGCTTTCAGAGATTTACAGTACTTAGGACTCCAGGGACAAACTACAGTTTCTCTTTATGATTCAGAACTGTCTTTGGTTAGTCACCTGTTCTGAGCAGCTGGTCATCACTCTTGCACAATTTGGCTTCTTAAGTCCTTTTGATATCATTCGTAGATTACATCCCTCACTGTTGCTCAGGAGTTTTGTCCTAACAAATGTTGATGTTTGAGCACAACACTACTACAATAATGTCAGGTTACACATCGAAACCTATGCCTGAAAGAAAAGAGCAATGGAACTCTGTCACTCAGGTGGGGACGCCTTTCTTTATATCATGTTACTAAAAAAACAAGAAGCTTCTTCACCCCTGCCTGAGGAGAGGTACAATATCCACAAGGCTCTCTCTTCCTCCTTTCTGTCACTTCTCCGATATTGATCCACAATCTCTGTGTCTCTTTCAAAAGCAAACGTCTTTAATAGCTTAAGGCTCTTATTTCTATGCAGTATAAGGCAGAGATGTAGCAAGTCTCACTGTGTTTGTTTCACCCTACAGAATTTGTGGGGATTCCTTCTTCTGTGGGGGGGGGCTGTACAATCACACTTTCTTACCCGAATAAATGCATCACAATGTCTTTTCAAAAAAACTTTTTTTTTCCCCTCGGGTTCATTTCTGCAAACATACCTGCATATTTGTCCTGCAGCAGTTATTGAAGAGACTTGGCCCCTTAATGACTGATGTGGGTCTCAGGCTCTACACTTGACAGCACTGCAGTTCCTTCTATGCGTACAGTGTGCCTGCCAGGGTATCATTTAATCAAGAGGTCTGCCAGCTTGGGAACAGCTCCTTCAGCCCCTCATGGAGGACTTCATCGGGTCTGAATTGAGAGTCTCGGAGTCCATTCTTGTCCTCTTTGGTTCTCGATTAAGGGTCGGTGAGCTTGTGTGCCACATGGTCGGCTACATGCCTTCCCACTATAGCTCCATGTCTAGCCTTCCTAGTGAAAGTCTGGAAAGCCTGAATAATAGTTGTCTAATGCTTACATATCCTGTTGGGCCAACCATGTGATGGTGATGTCACACTGTCCCATAACTTGACATCTAATTGCAGACATCAAAGAGGTTATTATGCTAAACCTGTAACTCCGGTTCCCAGAACGATAAGCACATCGATGCAAGAGGAGAACTTGGAGCCATGTAGTACTATGTCTCCGCAGAGTGGGCGATGGGGATGGAGCATCGCGTTCTTTACTGGTGTCGGCACAAAGATTCAGCTGATGTTCCCTTGGCTGGTGGCAGATCTTGAACATGAAAGGGAACCATGTGTAGCCAGCTATCTTTCCGCACAACCCCAAAGAGAGACCATGCCTTTTTTCGCTCGTCATTTAAACATTCAAGTCATACTCCACCAATAAACTGAAAATCCCAGGTGTTGTCAATGTGGTGTGATTACCAAATTATGAAAGGCATATGTGTAAATGGCTCAATTACTGTACCAAGCAAGCTATTACATTGCATGCATAATATTATACAAACAGTTCTTTACTCATTAAAACTAGCAATGAACTACATAGCCTTTTTTCCAATTTACACTATTTCCCTCATTTACTTTATTGTACAGTATATCAATATCAATTAAAAATGTAAAAATATGCACTACTTTTCACAAATAATAACTACCTTCTACACATCTCAAGGGCATTTTGTAACAGTGGACCCATTATTAGTATAGAGTGGTTTGGGCTGACACAATCTATCCAGAATTGGAAAGTGGTTTATCCCTTTTAATGGTTATGTAAACACGCCAGCACAGGGTGCAGGACAGAACTACACACTGGTTGAGACCTCAGTTCGTCAAGGTGCTTCCACACATACAAGCGAACAGGGACAATTCAGAGACTCCATGTTACCCAGCCAGTATATCTCTGGGAGGTAGTATAAAGCAGGAACTTCCAGAGAAGGCCTACAGAGAGACATTGGGAAAACATGCAAATCTCACCCAGGCTGGAATCTATCCCAGGACATGGGAGCTGGGTTCCTACACATACAGTATACAGTATAGGTGAGGTAGCAGCACGATCCACCACAAATACTTGGCCACCAACTCAAGGCTAGTTTCTCACATTGGCTTCCTTTCCAAAAAGTAGCGCATACACATTTTTCAGTCACAGCATTAGGAAAACATAGTTTATGTGCACTGCCTAATGATGAATTCAGCTGTGCCACAATACAAACAGTTTTTCTGCTACTCCAAGAACAGCTTTAGAGATTTATCCAGGCACTGAAAGACATTTATACATTACTTAGTCATTAAATAACAACAGATGGATAAAACAGTAACTTTCAAATTCTAAATTTTATGTTATTCTAAGTTGTTCAGTTGGATACAGCTTTTACCACTATTTCAGTAAAATGTCTATATTATATTGCAAAAACTGGTTTCAGGTTGTCATCTATGACAAATAATAATCAATTCAATAATTATGACAAATTGTTAATTAGGAGAAATACTGTACTGTACATATCCAGATATCTCTTTTCTGGAATATCATAGGCTTTGCACACATGTTTATTATCCAAATAAAACAACAAATAATGATAAAACAATTCACCAGTTCAGATAAAGAGCAGAATGAACAGTAAAAAAGGTGGAATATTTGTATAAACATCAAAATGTAATAAATCTGTAAAACAGTAAAGTGTAATTTGATTCAGCCTTGCAAGAATGTTAAGTAATAAGATTGAGACTAATCGCAGCATCACATACTGTACTGTCACCAGGAATGAATAATTGAAATCAAGACCAGATAATGAACTTTTATGTCAAACTCTCTACCTACTGTAACTTTCCTCCAAACGCCCTGTATCAGCAACTCAGTGGAATAATTCTACATCTCTTCTAAAAACACAGTTCATGTTATTTTATTAATTTACACAGATATCTGATATGATTGTATCTGCATGTTCGTTACATTGCTGACAAAACATACTGTACATACATCTCACCACCAGGTACTGTAAGAGTGAATAAGTGATTCACTGAACTTATGGACATTTTTGCACACCGCAGACTCTCATTTCAAATATTTACTTTGATTAACAGAAAGGCACAGGGAATGAAAAAAAATCTTGAAGCTTTAATATGAAAATTGAAAAAAATTAGATATGAATCTTTGCTCTTCCTACAGCAAAAAGATGACCAATTAAGACTAACCAACATCTCAAAGTAATAGAAATCACATGAAGACTGAACAAAAAAAAAACTTTTCCACGTGCTACGCACTTTGCAGGAAGTGGCATTTCATTTTTCAAATTGGATTATCTTATATGACACTAATAAGCACACCGAAACATGAAAAGGCTTACATAACTTACAAAGTGGCAGCACTAATTTGTATGTTCTCTACACTGCAGTCAGTAACAGACAGCCACACAAGTTTGAGAACAAGTCAAATAAGAGACCCCAAGGATTTTGCCTGCAGTTAGCAAATAGTATAGAACAGTACATACGATATTTGCGTGAGCAATGAGCTTTTTCATAATTACAAAAGCAAAAAAAAACTTTACCAAAGAGAAGATCCTAACTGTTAGAACTCTACTACAGTACCAGCACAACAAAGAATGCTGGTATCTGAACATCTTAGTTCACAACCAACCGTCCAGTTTCCACATTAAATTTATATAATACATGAAATATTTATAACGTGCAGTAGCTGTTCCATAACTTCAAAGTCTAAACAAGTCGTGTACAGTATAGTAAAGTATTGTGTATAGTATCGTATTAGTATTCTATTAGCAGCATACTGTAGTATTCTGCCATTTTGTTCTTTTATTTACAAAAATTTTAACTTGTTTCAGGCCTGATTAGCTTTCATTACACGAACCCTTCATTTGAAACACAATCTGGCTAAGGCAAGACCAGTACTGGTAATGCTGTTTAATCTGCACAGCCATCAGGTGAAATGGACCTACCCAATGCTTTATCTTTTTCACGCTGAGACAAATTAATGTTAGATAAAATGTGAAGTTTGTGTAAGGAGAGTTTATGGGGATACAATTTTCTTTTGTAAATGTTCTTTTTCAGCAGCACATTTAACGTTTTCTTTAACAAAGTTTATTTTACTTTCCCTTTAAATACTAGAAGGTGACTTTCCATCTATTCCATCAGATTTGCTGCAAATAGATATAAAAAAGTCCTTTAAAATGTTGCCAAGCACAAGATCAAATTAAATGCTCACCATTATACCTGTGCTAAACAACATCTTATTACTGGCTGCATATTTACTTGTGTGCATGTAATGCAACTGCATCCTTCATGGATTAAGCACAGCAGCCTCAATCTTCCTTTTCTATGAGCCAGAAGGAAAACTATTACAACATAATAAATAAGTGCCTTCCCTGGCTATAAAATAACTCACTAATCACTCCATAAACTGCTGTTTCGACTTACCTTAAATCCCTTTTACAGCTCTATTTATCACTTGTAGACAAACCCTTAGTTCACATCTTCTGTTATGCAAACTTACAGTGTGTGTCGGTGGGGGGGATCAACACATCCAAAACAAGTTCAAACAAGAAATATGTTAAAAACAAATGTACAAATACTATAAACGTAGGAGAAAACTCATGACCTCAATACATCGGGATAATAAAAATGCTATGGGAATCGTTTGTGTAAAAGAAAAAAAAAAGAAGTTTGGGAACACCGCGTATCGATGCGGTGCGCTCATACAGTATATTAGTCAATTGCTGCCATGACGACCATCTTAGCCTGCATTTCAGAGATGTTTAGAGCAAGGGGAACAGCTGGGATGCTGAGACGAGTCGGTCAGTCTTACAACCTGAGAGAGAGAGAGAGCACTGCAGTCTGCCACTCTGCACACGAGAGAAGGATACCCATTTTACAGCATCTTTGCCTCCTCTTACGCACTCTTCCAATCTGTGATAGAGCTGCAGGTCCTCCTTTGGATTTATAAACATAACTAGAAACAATAAATAAATAAAAATCAACCTGGATTTACGTTTCAACTTATTTCCATGACTCTTCTGGTTTACTGATTGCTTTGATTTTTTTTGGTTTGTTTGATCCACCGATTTGATGCGCTTTTTCGAGTCTGTGCAAGAAGACTTACCCTGCGTGTTGGGCGATTTCTCCTGGGGCTATTACAAAAAAGATTTGCCGGGCAGAAGAGACGATCTCACCTTATCATTGTGCAAATACCCCTAACACAGATTTCTGTTTCCTTTTTTTAAAAAACTCGGCATCCCGTTTGATCGCCGCTGAACAGCGCTCTTGTGAATTCCAGAAGCCTGCAACTGGAGTTCCGTTTCTCCTCGCACTTCTGCGGTGTCTTAAAACTCTCAACAGAAAGGGGAACCACAGCTACAGCTATTGCAGGAGTTAAAATACCGAAAGTTTCGAATTAACTTTAAACTCACCTGCAAAAGGAGTATTCCAGGTTCAATTAAGAGTCTGCCTTGCGTGAACTGGGAGCTGAACTGTGGCTGAAGATGGGTATTTGTGGCTATTTTGTGGTATCCTGGAAATGCCTGGTCGTGATAGCGCTAAGACTGCTATTTCTTGTACCTGCAGGAGTGCCTGCCCGGAGCGGAGAATCGTCTTTTTCCAAACCGATGGACAACGTCACCGTTAGACAAGGGGATAATGCGATCCTAAGGTAGGGTTCTTGATAATATGATTGAATTATTATTTGTTTTAATTGCATATCGCTTCCTTCTTGGAGATCTCACATTTGACCACTAGATGTTACTGTCATTGTGTGGCTGCGCAGTTATGCGCGTGACAATGTTGTGAGGCACTTAACAGGTTCCAGGTGTGCGTTTTGGTCTGGTGTCGCGACAGCACAGAAATATTGGTTGTGCCGCTGCATGAGTTGCTGGCTTTCCGCTCTTGTTAAATGCACAAACGGTTTAGTGAGTTCCTGTACTAAAGAATTAAGAAGACGTGCCATTTGCTTAAGCAAAGGATTCTTAACCGTGTATGAAACACGTGTGGGAGGTGCTATAAATATTAATAACTGTTTTTTTATGGAAATAAAAGACCCATGCAATTCTTTGATGTGGCTGTTGTACTGAAGTCAAGCTGTTTTGTTATTTAAACAAATCCAGATTTTACGTCTAGCATACTGCACGCGTATGCACGCTTTATTGTGTGAGCATTCACAGCGTTTGTTTCTGGATTCGAATCATGGTAGCCCGTGACGAGAATGGGCAAAATGGTGATGTTGCATGCAGGTTGGGTGGAGTGCGCTTGGCCGGAGTCGGTTTTAAATTGGGCACTGTTGAGATGGAAGTAAGCAAAGTTTTGAGAAGTTCAAGCATGCCTGGTCAATGTTCTACGAGTAATATGATGATAACAGTTTTCTTTTTGGATACTGTAGGATTTTCTACGATGGGTATCACGCAACTAGTGTCTTCTGAGTTGGTGATTTTTTTAAATTCCCGTTTGGAAGATGAACTGTATATTTCTCTACTACACTGCCTTCACATGCTGTATTATCAGGAAACATACCCTACAAGTATGAATGCAAATCCTTTTGCTGTTTGAATCTACATGGTATTGCCAGACCTAAATAATAGAGGGTTTGACAGAGGCTTTATTCAGCCTTTTGTGCAACAGTGGGAAAGTGGATCTTATGTCACATCCCAGCCTGGTTTTGCCAAGAGCCTGGCACCAGCCACAGCAGGGTCCTTTTTTAGAGAAATAAAGAGGAGCCTGTGGCTGCACCTCCTGGTACTGTACATGCTGGTCGCACTCGCTGCTGAGGGGAAATACTGCATTTATACCATAGAGGCACCAATAAGCAGCAGTCTTGGAGATCCTGCCCCAGCAATTGTAATGTGTGCAGTATTCGTGATGATAATGACTATCTTCTTTATTAATGATGTGTTTGTTAAAACAGAATCAGTTAAATTACCCAATAAAGCAGTGTTCCTTGATGCACCTCGAATCCCGCTCCATATTAAGACCTAAACATGACACTCTGTTTTACTGTACAGTATATGGCAGACAGCATAGTGTCTTTTGCATGACTCAAATTGTCATTTCTGTATGTAACAAATATCCTACCAATACTGTACATTTGCTTAGAAGGCAGTACACAGCCTTTTCATTAGTCAGATATGCTAATATGTAGGGGATGGACTTCTGTAATTTTCTCTTGACAGTTTTGTTCTGAACTATGTATAGTGGTGCATTAGAGTCACTTTCAATAGAACTGCTATTCGATTGCTTTTAGAGAAGGTTATAAGGTACAATAATCTAGGGCTCCACCACTCTTAACACTAAGTCAAGGCAATCAGTAATGCAGCCACTCCACTGTTATATATAGAGGAAGGTGTATATCTTCTATGGTCATAAGTGAATTTATAAACAGTTAATAAATACAGTACCAGAACTGGATGCTAGGTGATTATTTTGTATTACACTTTTGATATACAAAAATGATCACTAGTTGATTGGGCTGCTTTATGGGCAGTGGCTGTGGGATGATGGGTCATTGCTCACACCTTAGTTTTTCTGTCTGGGGAAGCATGTATGTGACATAGCATTACAGAAACTAAAAATGTCTGCCAAGACAGCTGTTTAGCTGCACCTCCTGTATACCAAGCATTGGAGTGACACAACAAGAAACAGAATTCAGAGTGCCCCTAGTGGCTTTTTACCTTTTCTCCCTTTTTTTTACTTGTTTATTTCTTGTATTTTTCATAGCCAGTGAAAGAGTCCTAAGACGTTCCCAAAACTTGCCATTCAGTTCTAAACAATTGCCATTTTACAGCCTGGGACCAATTGATCGACAAAGCACTTGCAATCCAGTCTAATCCGATCCAATGGGACTTGCTTTCAAAAATAAAATGTTTGTTTTATGGGAGAAGTAGCCTGAATTTAATTACTTGATTTTCAAAGTTAGACGTATTTAAATGAAACCTAGAATTATAAATACTGTAGCAGCAGATGTGTGCTGTGATAGCAGTAAGATGTGTGTTGAGGCGGCTGAAGTGAACACCACAGTTCTTTCCAAAGGTTTGTCAAGCAATACAGAACCATTCAGGGTAAAACTCCTTCATGATTCTGCTGTCTGCTTCAATTAGAAAATACCCTGTTATAATACATTTAAAGTTTAGGAATTAATTTGTCATTTTATGATAAGAGCTGTAAAGCTGGCTTTCACATAGGAATTACTGTATAAAGAATGTCACGTAAGAATCCAGATGTTGATTATTATTCAGGTTTAAGAGCAGAAGAAGCTAGGGTGCTGTGGCCGAGGACTTCATTTGTTTTTCAGAATCTTTTGGTTATGATCTTTAGCCTCGTAGATAGACCCACATGGTTAACAGGCACCCTGTCCTGCACTTGCTGTGAGGTCGAGCTTAAATCTCTACTCCTGTCTCCATCGGTGTCAGCCATCTACAAATCTACATAATAGAAGACAAATCAGTGATTCTGTGAGGGGAATCGTGTTGTATCCAGGTGGGGGGAAAGGGGGGGAGGGGAATTATCTTTGGTCGAATGAAAAAGGTGAGTAGTTTTTGTTTTTTTGTATTTTTGGATCCCTCATTTCATTTAAGTAATGTTTTTAGATGGTAGTTTCTTAATAACTGAGCACTAGAATAGATATATATATATATTTATTGTCATATGTTTTGTAACCAGACTCAGTGCCTGTAGGATCACAAACACCCAAGAGAGCATGCATCCTGCGCTTAGACCTGTGGAAATATAATCAATAAATAGCCTTTGCAATAATGAGATTTAACCAATAGAGGGCATATCAATGCCTGAATTCTCAAAAATGTTATATGTATTTGGTATTTGTATTATGATTCAATATTTCTCAGATATTATAACCCAACCTGGAGCTTGTTTCAGGGCTGCTGGATTGGCGAGTGTCTAAGAAGGGCAGGTGTGTAAGATTTTAGAGGAATTATCAGTAATGAATCAGTTTTTGTGACATAACTCTACCGTATGCTTTATTTTAGTTTAGACAAACATAGTATATCAGACCTGAAGTAACCATATCTAAAATATCAGGCCTACTTAGAGGTGATTCCTTTACACAGCTTTTTTAAATCACAGTTGTTCCAAACCTTTTGAAAAGAACTCAATTCACTTCAGGACTTACAAAGAAACAACTACATGTAAAAAAAAGGTTATACTGGACTGTGAAAGTGACACGTATTCACAACATCAATGCAACAGCCTGAGTGTACAGAAAGATACACCTACGGAAGGATTCAAAAAGCGACACAGCAAAAACAATTAAAATAATCATACCCTCATTGCAGCCACATGCACATTAATTTGTGATGGTAATAAAAGATGGCAAGCTAGCATGTGTGAAGTGCTTAAAATCCTGTTATGTCCACTGGTGAATAATTTGTGGATGCTTTTTGCGTGTGGCTATAAAGTGCCACAGTATGACAGATTTACAAGGATATTATGGGTTGAGTACTAGCCATTAGGTAAGCACACATTAGTCCATTACATTAGTGTTTCATTTTGAAGAATTCATGTTTTTTTGGCTTTTCCATTTCTCAGCTGATCTTGTTTACATTGTTTCTGGATTGTGTTTGACACAATGGGGCTCCCTTGCTAAGAAGCTGTATCAATATACTATACACATTTTGTCTGACTTAATTCCCAGAGATGAATTGAATTATTATATTAATCCCCTGTTCAACAGTGAACTCTATTGGAATGGGAAATTGAAGCACCAGTAACAGAGGGTAATTTCCATTTTTGGACAGGTAGAGTTGAAAAGAATGATGAGCAATTAATCTTCAGAAAAGAAAAAAAAAACACTGATTTCAGCTTTTAAAGGTGAAAAACTTCAGTCCCATCTGGTCCTAAACCCATGCAACTGAAAACAGTGCAGTATACAGTATAGTACAGCACATTACAAATGTATCGTTAGTTATTATACATTAACCTTATGTTTTTTTTAACCAAACAAGGGTAGCACTGAGTCACTGAAAATATCCACTTACATTGCTTTCTCCTTAAGAAAGTTTTTAATTCTAAAGATGGGTTTAAATATGTTATGATTGGCAGCTTCATACAGAAATCAGATATAATGAGTTCCAATTATTGAAGCTATTAACAGAGAATCCTAGTCAGAAATAGACTTGAAATCCAGCCTGTTCCACAACATCACAGCAGAGGTACAGTGGTTGTTAACTGGAGACAGCCATCACTGTTTCTCCATTGACAGGGTAAAAAAAAAAATCATTGCAACTTATAGTGTATAAATGGAATGAAATTTGAAGCTCAAACTTATTTTTATACTTTTCCTCACATATTTCCATTAATATTTTAGTACCAGTTGTGTACGTACAATATCTGAAATAGGTTTTCTTATGAACTTTAAAGTGTTTCCTCAAGGACTTTGGTAAGCATAAGGAAAGCAATCATTTGATGAAATGACCTGCTCCTGGGGCCTAGTATACTACATACTATGAAGCCACGAGTAGCAGCATAATTTACATGATCCTCTGCTTTCAAGGATATTGAACGCTACAGTATGCCAAATCAGAATATCTTATACAATGGCTTCTACTCCAGATTGTTTTTTTGGGATCATTTTACAGATGTATCAATAATTAGCCAGATGAAGCCTGTTTCTTAATCTGACTTCTGCCTGTGTTTCATCTGTGGTCA